GCGATTTCATAGACATAACTCAGGCTCATAGGCGAAAGAAAGTTATAATCCTGAAATAAGGGCAAGTTGTTCATAAAGTGAGGACGACATTATTTTTCAGTTTATTTGTACATATACTATTGTGCATCGAGTTGCACTGAGTTATTAGTGCAACTGTATGTAACTGCATTTACATAAAGTAAAACATTGCGAATTCTCCTGTTTTTAGGATAAAAAACATGATTCTTTTCATTCAGTTTAGTAATGAAGAGTGGAATTTCTTCCACGTCAGTGTTATTTAATTGAAGTTGTAATCTCTGTAGGACATTAAAGGAATAAATTCGGCACGGAGAACTACTATGTAAACCGAAAGTACTTTTAGTTTACTAAATCTTACAGACTTCCTGTATAAATTTGATATCTGTCAAGTGTTTATGTAAAGTCTGCTGCAGTATTCAGTAAAGTAAAAGTTGTAGTGCATCACTCCTAGACTTATCGTAGTCATTGGTATTGCCAGGATACCACTTACTTGTTTTATGCATCCGAAATATTCAATTCTCACTTTGTTGAGGAAATACTATACTGCCTGCAAAAGTAGTGCGTCAGTTTATGAGTTTCATAAAACCTACAGAATGTTTTCTATTCACTGAATACTGCCTGAGAATTACCCGAGAAAACACATTTCGAAGTGGAATGTAACAAGGCTGATTTCTTAAACTGTTATCCTTATATCAGTTCAATTCAACCACATATATTGTAAATGTAGTTGAAGATTGAACGATCAATTCATGGTTGTTTGCTCAAAACCAACTTCCCCAATTTTCGCGGAGGCATCAATCAGCCAGTCATCGTCTCATCGGTCGCTGTTCAGAAAGAAGTCAGGAGAAAACCGTCAGAAGTAATATCGTGGTTTATTATTGTAATATTTGTTCATAGACCTTAGTTGTAATATTGGTTATATGTTGGTGTTAGAATAAATAATTCTCGAGTCGCCAACTGGGTTCTGGTTTTTGCGTCCGTTCGTACTAAGCTTTTCTGAGAAGCTTCGAGGGACAGCGTGAGGTCCAGTATAGCAGGACCTGGATAGTAACACTGAGGTTTTTAGGCTCACTGTCTGCTGCTTATATGGCAATGTGACGGCGGCTGAGAGGAAAAGTAGGTGAACTTCTAAATCTCCTAGCACACCTGCAACTGAAAATAATCACTCCCACTGAAACCTGCCTAACCCCACTACTGCCGAAAACGAAGTCATTATAAGTGATACACCTCTGGTCAAAGAGACTGTGATAATAAGGAAGGAGGGGAAGTTGCTATATACCTCGACAAGCAGCTTAAATATGTACGCACAACGGACCCACCACTTATTGGACTCCCAGACTCCATATGTTGTCACTTCGCCGTAAACCTCACCAAGCCTTTACTGGGTGGCATCTACTGATCACCCACCTGTTGTGCACTGCACAACCAGCCACTTCTTAGCACCATCACAGGGATACGGAACTTGGGTTATGACCAAGTCACCATAGCTGGAGATTTTAATGCCCCATCACTGAACCTTGACTCGGGGTATGCTCAGGGAAAATTCAGTCGAAATCTACTGCAAACCATTCGAAATACAGGACTGACTGAGAATGTTGCAGACGACACTAGGTTGGGCTCCAGTGGAAAGTCATCGAAACTAGACTACATGCTAACCAACTACTCGTCGAAAAGATCTAGATCATAACTCCACTAGGAAGTAGTGACCATGCAGTCATAGGCTTCCACATTGTCCTCCATGGGCGCTTGTAGTGGGACGCTGCGCGACCATGTCTATGCTATAACAAGGCAGACTATGCCGAAATGGGCAGGCTCTTGTCTGACGCACACTGGCCCTTAGCATTGGATGAGCTATCTGTGGATGAACACTAGGAAGTGGTAGAAAAGATTATTCATGCAGCAATCTCGGATACCGTCCATGTTGTCACAACAAAGTGCAAGAGAAAGTCATCATGGCTGAAGAGAGGCACGCAACGTATTCTGCAAGCAAAGCGGAAGGCTCGTGTCAGTGGAAGTGAACATTGAACGTTGGTTCATTGGCCTTGGTAGCTATTGGTAGGCAACTCGAAGCTGCGAATAGTTCAGTCGTTTACAGGATCGAAGAAGACGAACGAAAACGAATAAAAGTACTTCATATTTTGTATAAAACATTTGTTTACAGACTAAGTACTAAACCTCGATTTTAATTGCCAAATAATGCAACTTCCTTCTTACAACCACTGGTGTTTTGGAGTAAAAGTCGAGAATCAGCTTTAATATTTATCGGTTCGGAGCGTCTTCTTAACAATAGGAACTTAGGGTTAAGTTCCTGGACATCTTGGCTTACGTGGTGTGTATCTGCGGGTCAAATCGACCACGACGCATACCTGGGATTTAAGGACAGGTGCAACTCAAGAGTCGGGAGTGACAGAAGGTCGTTCCGGGCTAACCTTGCCAAAAATCCTCAGCAAACCCCAAAAACTTGTATAGATTCATGTCAATATCTGACTAATCTGGAGATGGCGGAAACATTCAGTTTAGCCTTCGCCAGACAGTTAAACAGCAATGTGGGTATTACCAGTACGGACCAAAATGGTGGCACTACTATTTCACAGGAGGAAGACCTAATGGCTACTCCCCAAATAAGCCCGGAAGTATTATTAAGGAAGCTACAGCGACTCACACCTGCGAAGTCCCCAGGTTGTGACAGTATGAGTTTATCCGTTCTGAAACGGTGCGCTGAAGCCATCTGTAAGCCACTATGTGGCTGGCTGTAACACTCGACGGATTTGAGGAAACTGCCAAGGGAGTGGAAAAGAGCCATCCTTTCTCCGATTTTCAAGGGTGGGGACAGGCAAAATGCCACTAGTTATAGACCAGTAGCTCTACTCCCAGTGGTATCAAAAGTACTGGAAAGTATTATTGAGTATCACGTCAGGCAACACCTTGACAGGACTAGCAGACTCCATGAAGTTCAACACGGTCTCATGAAAGGCAGATCCTGCGTTACTAACCTACTATCAGCATGGGGCGATTGGACATAATATTCTAGTCCACGTGGTCCTCCTAGACAGTTCAAAATGACCTTCTCATACACAAAATAAGTCAAGCAGGCAAGAGTAAGACACTTCTGTCGGGGTTAAAGGACTACCTAGTTGATAGGCAATTTTGCACCAACGTCAATCGAGTCCGATCATCTTGACACAGCTCGTCATCAGGAGTATAGCCGGGTTCTATCCTAGGACCACTGATGTTTTTGATTTTCGTCAATGATCTACCATGCTGTCTTAGCCACCCGGCTCTTCTATACGCTGACGACGTAAAGATACGGAGGACGATAAAGTGTCCGGGGGACTCAGATAGGCTGCAGGTAGATCTAAACCTTCTGGAAGACTGGGTGGTGGCCAGTGGCATGACTTGCAAACTGAAAAAGTGCAAAGTAGTGAAGTTGCGCACCTGTAGACTGCAGAATGCGAGTTACACTCTGCGCAACGAAAGCTTGACCTGCACAACGTCGGAGCGCAACCTAGGAAAAAATGGACACTAGCGTAAGCTACACGGGGGACGTAGCGAGAGCATATGTGGTCACACACTTTACACATGGACAGTTAGGTGCCCTCACTCCTGAGCTCTTTATAAGGCTGTAAAAAACACGTTAGATCACACCTTGAATTGCGTAATATTATTGCACCCGCACTACGTAGAAGAGAAGCCAACTTCTTGGAAAAATGCCAAAGGAGTGGTTGGTCTCCGAAATAAACCACATGATGAAAGGCTAAGGAAATTGGGCCTATTCACACTTAGCTACCATCGGCTAAGAGGGGTTTAATTACTGCTTAAAAAATAACGAATGACCAGAACCACCCAAACAAAGGCGTTCTGCCATTGAGTCGGTTTCGGCTTCCTCGTGGAAATTCCAGAAGGATAGCTCACCAGAGGGCAAGGATCCTGGTGCGTTCCCACTTCATTTCCCTACGTGTTTGTCATCCCTAGAATTCCTTACCGGCAGATGTAGCTATAGCACAGTCTTTTGACGCCTTTAAGCGAAAGCTGGACAATCACGTAGTGACACAAGGACTGTGCTGAAAATTCGTTGCTGTATCATTAGTACTGCTTCTGGAATAAGGCGAAAATTATTATTATTACTATTCCCTTAAAATCTCATACACCATTTGGGGGTAGACAACTAAGTTCGTCGTTTTACCTGTTTACATTCTTTCCCGTCTTACTCTCCTGACAGCTTTAACTACACTTATTACCATTATTACCGCTATATATACATATATATATCAACTTCAAATTTAATCAGCTGATTGTTTTTATGTTCTCCTTATTTCATGGAGGATTTCACCATGAGCTGAAATCAGTTAGAGAACCACTGGAAAACCTGGGAGTGCTGGACGGCTGTTTCGTCCTAGTTTGGGACTCTTCAGCAGTATGCGCCCACCTTCTGGTTACAAGGCGAGCTCGTATACCATTGAGCCACTGGGACCTGACCCAATGGTCCTTGAATTCTAACTTCTGCCAGTTCACGAGATAGCGCGACCACTTCGCAATGTCTTCTTCGATGAGTTACTGCCTCAACTTCAACCTGCTTTTCTTTATTTCTTTTTCTGTTATTCTGAATAAGTTTACTAATTAGATCTATCGTTATTAACATTTCTTCCTTTTGACGATGATACTGGAGGACTAACTGGTGAAAGGATCAACTGCATTCACAGTAGTCACAGTCTTAACACACCTCATAATACAAACCACATATAATTAATCCAAGCACTACTCCTTTTGGAGTCACTCAAAGCTCCGACAGTCGAGTGGTGGCACGATCTATGCAGAAGTTTACCGAAGATCGCCTCAAAATTAAGAGGCGAGCATAAAGAAATCAAATTGGTTTATACTAGCTCGTAAAATCGATATTGGACATTGGACCTTGTAAGCTAAAGACGAGCGGTTTGCAGATTGAGGGTCACTTCTTGTGCAACGTGATGACGAAGTCAACGCTTATGGAACGGGTGAAGTTCGGTGCCATAACATTCTTTGTTTACTTTACTGTATGCGTCCTTCTTGGTGCGCCGTTGAATGAGTAAGTCGAACAGGTCGCATTTTCATATGACTACTTCCAGGCAATGGAGAGAAACCGGTTTAATGTCACTTGTCCTTACATGTTGCACTGCACTACCTTTCCTCATATTTTTCAAAGCAAATCTCGAAAATTTGAAATCTGTTTTGTCCCCATCGTAAGTTTTACATTATCTATATGTTCGATTTAGTCTTTCGTAATAATGTATTTTTCATCGTGTGATTTGTAAATGTCAGTGATTTCTAAGAATAACTCTGTATTATGCTTGGTTTTTCGTTATCTAAATTCAGACAGAAGCATAAGACTGCTGATTTGCCTCATTAGTGTGAAGATATTGTCACACATAGTGCTAAATATTTGCTGAGAATAACGTTGAAATGGCTGATGCAGGAGATCTCAGTGAGTTTCATGATGTAAAGCAGCCCGGGTTAATACCTCGAACTCATCAAAAGTGGGTGTAGTCACTACAAAGCGACTCGGATTTAAATTAGTGATTAACTCTAGTTTTATACCGATAAGTATTTCAAGTATTAGGTTTAGTATTAGTAAGTCTGTCTCTTAAATTACAGATGCTTTCGGACACATTTTAGTTGATTGCATGTACGTCTACCATCATGAATTCACAACCTATAGCATGTAGTATTTTATGCTTCTGTCTAATTGTATACTTTTCTTGTCTTAAATTATCTAGGTAGTCAGTATGAATAATTTGGTGCACTTTAGCATTTTAATTTTCGGAATTTGAGTGAGTTGTTAACTATAGAATTTTGAGATGACAGCATTTAAAAATTGCATCAAATGAGCAACTAATTAGCACCATTCATCTCTCCCTGAAGTATTTATTTTCTGTGCTTGGCGTGTTTACAGACTATTAAAAGTGAAGTAGGATTGGAGTGTTTGAGAATTTAAGTATCATAACTTTTAATATTTATTCAACCTAAGCCTAAAAACAGCTGCACACAGTTCAGTACGTAGTTTTCTTGACAGCTAGTTATTCAGTGAGGAAATAAATTCTAAATATGTTGCTGTGAAATGGCCATCAACATGATTTAATAAGTTAACACATTAATGACAACTGAACTGTTGTTGTCTCTTCATAGAATATGGACTGGGCTCTGTAGTAAGTTCTTAGCAGGTCATCTGTATTATACTGTCATAGTTTTGCCAAAAGCGATAAAGATGACTAGTTTAAGTCCGATCGGGAGAAATGAACTCACGATGTTCGTCACCAATGACTGAAGCTTTGCAACTATGAAAGTTGCTGGTTGGCAACCAAAAATTTCAGCCTTTATAAGATTTGTTTCTGTATGTTACTTTGGTTTGAGTTATGTCCTATATTTTTCGTTTCATGGTGTCGTAGTTTTGTCAGCTCTGCATCGTTATCCAAATAAAATCCTACTGTTTTCACCCACTTTTGAACTTCAAGTAATCAAGAGCTTCCAAAAATAGCTCTGTTGACTTCTAGTGTGCTCCCTAGATAAGTGAATGAAGTGACCTCTCTCAAATTCCTCCTGTTGATGGTGATTGACGCTGGATGTTGCTGTTGTTGTTGTTGGTTGGTTATTTTCATAACCTCCGTCTTGTCTATGTTCACCTGGAGTCCTATCTTCGCTGGCTGCTTCTTCGACCAGTTTGTCGGTTTTCGCTTGTAAGTCTTCGATGTTGTGTGACATCAAGCATAAATCATCCACGCGCGAAATCCAGGTCTTCTAGGTTCTTCATGTTGGTCCAGGATATTCCTGTCTTCTCGTTTCCCACTGTCTGACGCATAATCCAGTCCACCACAATTAGGAATATCATTGGTGATAATAAGCACCCTTGTCTGACACCTGTGTTTACTCCAAACGCCTCGCTAAATTTTCCGTTGTGGATAACTTGACATGTGCCGTTGTCGTACAGCTGTTGAATAAGGTTGATGAATATTTGGGGTACTTCACGGTCAACGCTGTCGAAGGCCTTTTCAAAGTCTATAAAGTTGAGGTAGAGGTTTGATTGCCATTCCATGCTTTGTTCTGTGATGATGATGCGTAGAGTTGCAATTTGGTCAGTACATGATTTGCCTTTCCTGAATCCAGCTTGTTCTGGTCGGAGTTCTGTCTCCAGTGCGTCCTTTAATCTCTCCAGGATGATGCGACTCAGGATTTTACTTGGCGTCGATAGGAGCATGATTCCTCGCCAGTTCTTGCAGAGTCCTAAGTCGCCCTTCTTTGGTAGTTTCACGAGGTAACCTTTCCTCCAGTCAGTAGGCACCTTTCCCTCCTTCCAGACCTTTTGCAATAATGGAGTCAGCATGTCTGCTGTAGTCTCTGGGTCCGCTTTCAGTGCTTCAGGGGGTATTCCATCTGGTCCGGCTGTTTTTCCAGCTTTCAGAAGCTTGATTGTATTCAAGACTTCAGCTCTCGTTGGAGGATTGGTGTCAACTTGCAGTTGTGTGCGCGCTGTTGTTGGTATTTCTGGACGGGTTGCAGGTGATGGTCGGTTCAAGAGTCCTTTGAAGTGATCCGCCCATTGTTTAATCTGTTTTTCTTCCTTGGTAATTGGGTTCCCTTGGCTGTCTTTTATAGGTTTCGCTTGTGTTGATCTCTTCCCGGATAGAGATTTGGTTATCTGATATAGTGTCCTCAGGTCCCTTTTGCCTGCTGCCTTCTCAGCTTCAGTGGCGAGGTTGTCGTAGAATCGTCTTTTGTCCTTCCTAGCACTCTTCTTCACTTCTTTGTCCAATGCTGTGTAAGTTGAGCTCATCGTCTCCTTCTCCTGTCCGTCCTTGCATTGAATCATTTTCTCTTTCACCATTCTCCTCTCTTCTATTAATTTCCAAGTGTCCGTTGAGAGCCATTCCTTGTCTTGTCTCTTCTTTCTTCCTAGAACCGTTGAACACGTTTCGTTGAGAATCGCCTTCAGAGACTTCCAATGTTCTTCCACGCATGATTCTTCAGTGATGTCGCGTAGTGTTTCCTGCTTTGCTCTGACAGTTGCAGTGAAAGTGTCTTTTGTGGTTGTGTCCTTCAGTTTTTGAGTGTTGAACTTGCATTGTGGCCTATCCCCAGCTATCCTCGAGGCTTTTAGTTTCACCTTGAAAGTCCCTTGTACTAGATAGTGGTCTGAACCCACATCTGCTCCTCTCCTTGACCTTGTGTCCAGTAGGCTCCGTCTCCACTTTCTTGAAATTGAGATGAAGTCTATTTGGTTTTTGGTGTTTCCATCTGGTGAAATCCATGTCGTCTTGTGTATATCCTTGTGTTTGAACACACTGCCACCAATCACCAAATCATTGAAGGCGCAGAAGTCTGAGAAGAGTTCACCATTGTCGTTCATTTCACCGAGGGCCTCACGACCCATGGTGAGTTCTCTTCCTGTGTTGTCTCCTCCCAGCTTCGCATTCATGTCGCCCATCAGGATTTGCCATTTGGGACGTTGTCCATTATTGCTTGTAGTTGTCTGTAGAACGCCTCCTTCTTCTCTTGTTCTGAGACGTTTGTAGGCGCATAGCATTGAATGACTGTAACTTTCCTTCCTTTTGAGTTGAACCTGGCTGTCATTATCCTGGAGGAGATTGGTTCCCACTGCATGAGAGCTTTGGTTGCTGTTGGTGACATCATGATGGCCACTCCCTCGGTGTGCTCATGGTTGTCCTCTGAGTGGCCGGAAATGATTACTGTCTCTCCAGTAGGTAGTTGGCACCTTCCAGTTCCGTTCCATCTGCTTTCGCAGATTCCCAACACTTCTATTCTGTACCTTCTCATTTCAGCGGCTATCTGGGCAGCCTTTCCAGTTTCGTACATTGTACGAACATTCCAGGTACCCATCCTTACTTTTGCTTTCATCGAAAGAAGGCACATCGGCTGACTGGCTTCCCGAAGGCTTTCACCAGCCTGCGTCATTTCACTTTCCCGATTCCAGCGAAAAGTAAGGCTATTGCTTATGTTTTTAGAATTTTTAATATATTTATTCGTTGAAGTTTCTGTAGCGATTTGGTTGTTTTACAGGGGTGGAGTTGCTAGCACCACGCCCCAACCCTCCCCCTTTACCCGGGCTTGGGACCGGCGAGAAAACTAGAAAGCTAGTAGCCTAGCAAGCTAGTAATCTGGCGAGGTTGACTTCTAGTGTAAGCGAAGTGAGTTGTGTTTTGATGGTTCATTTCTGTGTTATCTCTACACAGGTATCTCAAGTGGATCGAAATTCAGGGAATATGTACCTGTACGAGGTCCACTTCATTTTAGGTTTGTGAAGCTGCTTTTATTGAGGTTTGTATTTGTCTTACAAATTTAGCTCCTGATTTCGAACTACGAGGTGTTTAGTTTTCGTGGATAGTTGTTGTTCGTCTCTGGTCTTCTGGGTATGCATTAATCAACTCTACTAGTGTATGCATGCAACCCCACATACAAGAATGTGTGTATCGGGGCAGCAAGGATGTTATGCAGTATGTATTGCTAGTTGACTAGTAAAAGTGCATAGGCCTCGATGTTAAGTAGCAGTAAATGACACTTTAAGGCAAGTTTAAATCATCTGTCCATGGTTTTTAGTTTGTTAGGAATTAAGGGTTGACTTTTCTAGGTGTGATGCTTAAGACTTGATCTCACCATTAGTGAATTGCTTGTTGTACATCTGTATTTCACTCTGCGATCTTATTTTTGTTAACATCCTTTGCGGGTTGTAAGTCTTTAAATTCTTGTATGAGATTGTTCATCTTTTGTATTTGTCTGTTTCAAAAGTAGTTTTGGATTTAACAATTAAATTGTAATGTTTACTAGACTAACTAACTGTAGTCTGCTTAATATCAGATAGATTTTTATATGATCAGAAGTTAATAAAATTTCAGTTGTCACTTTCAATTCCATAAGACAACCGTTAACTGCTGTATTGATATGGCGGTCGGGTTTGCATATCACAATGATCAGAGGAGCTACACTGACTGAAACTAATGTTCCTACAGGTCGACTCAGAAAATTGTATATACCGACTTCGCTTGCAGTGGTGCGTAGCCAGTGGTAAGATCTTAAAACGCAAACATCTCCAAAATGACCGTGTGAGCGGCCTTCAACAATTATCTCCTGGGCTCCGCAGTCAAGCAACACTAATATTTCTTTTGTTTAAGGTACTCCAAAAAGAAATGGACTCACGGTGTAGACATCTGTGAGGTGATAACTTCCCATAATCATCCCTAAGCGAACAAAGCTTTCATGATCATTATCCACCTTTACTTTCATAACTCAACTGTATTCACACTTTATTGTTATATATTTGCATAAATATTTTCTCGATTTGTTATAATGACTTCTCTGATTCATCATTGTTAATTAGTTTATTACTCAACAGTCATCAATAATCATGAAGGGATTTTAAGTTGACTTTCCTTATTGTTGTTTTCAGGTCACCTGAAGAAAAGTATGTAGCCTTCATTGGCTACGGGTGTATTGTTGGTGCTTGGCTTTCAGCTGGTTTTCTGATTTTAGATTGGGATAGACCCTGGCAAGCATGGCCTATTCCATGTGTCGTTGGAGCTATTCTGGGTGCTTTAATAGGATTAATAACCCTCGTACTTACTCCTTATGTATCCTCTATGTTAAAGTACAGAATGTCAGGGTTTTCAAATTCGAGATCTTCCTCTCGGTCTTTCACAGACAATAAATATCGTCTCGACTGAATCTATAAATGTATTTTTGAAATTTATCTGTGATAAACAGTTGTGTATTTCGAATTACTGTATTTAAAGAATATTAACTTATTCATTTCCAGCTAAATATACCTGTTTAATTTTTTTATCACGTTGTTTTGAGACTATTCAAATTAACAGTGTGACTGAGTGACTTTTTCCTAATCTATATTATTGGTTAACTGTGTGATGTGTGGTACACGTAGTGAGGTGAGATTAACGAGTATCAAGTGACTGACTGACTAAGTTTCAACCTAAACTTTGCACAGAAACACATCAATTTATGTTACCACACTCCACATTAGCCCGGCGAGGTAGGCACAAAATACTCATGAGCATATAATGAACACAAATGTATGGGAGAAAGAATACTAACATGAAAAAATTATGGTTTACAAGATATGGAAGATCACAAAGGGAACGGTTTTGTGCCACACCGACAACAATATTCAGCCATTGGTTTTTAGAATCTCGACGGCCTCATCTAGGTAGTTTAGCTTAACAACATCGATCGACTGTCCCTCCTTACGCAACACTCGACGCATAATCTCATTTACTCATTACCACTGAACATGAGAGGTGAAATGCGAAAACCTATGCTCGAAGACAACGAACCTTTTCATATCTTCCACTTTTGATGACCATATCTTACAGCTCTAAGTGTGAGGATAGAGAGAAGTGGTGCGCAACGCATACATCATTTTATCGGTGGTCAGGTATCACGTTTATACCACAGATGGCAAATGTCAATGCTAGCCTTTTGCATTTGTCTTGAAATTTTCTTGGCAATCAGTCCATCGGAACTGGTGGAATTTCGCAAATAATTGTGGTGGCCACCACGCTTCACCACTTCGTTTCCTCTCTTTAAGCTAGGGGTTGCTTTAGTCCAGCCCTGCAGTATCTTCTTACATCTGACAGGAACAAATGACATGCCAATGTGTAATAAGTAAAATATCTTGTGAGAGTTTGAAAAAAAACGTTGTGGTAACGTGTGCAGACATGCGTTGTTGTTAGTTTTCAATAAGAAATTGTTGTTTAACATGTTTATGATTATTTGGCTCAGAGGCTAGAACCATGCCAAAGTTATTTTTGAGTTATCTGTGAATATCTGTAATGTTTAAAGAGGTAATGATAAAATAGCTAATCACTATTTTATCTCTTTCTAAATTTTACTGATGGTTCAGTTAATATTTTACACGTGATTATTTACTAACCGTGTAATTTGTATTTCTGTTAACAAAGTGACTGAAGTGTCAATATCCTTATTTTTTTCACACCTTTGCATTCCGAGTAGAACATAAAGCCTCAGACTTGAGCTTGGAATTTGCAGTAACAGTGCGGTTGCTAGTCTAACTCCCAACCTTCCTTCTTTACCGTGCTTACTACTACTTGCGAAACGAGGTTTTGGGGTGCGTCAGCCGGGAGTGAAACTGTCACCAATTGCAGCGTGATTACCAAGCATTTTACCAACGAATGAGCCACTGACGCATACGTCCAACCGACGACTATAGAATCCGTTCTGGGAAATCCCAATAGATTAAGGTGAAATCAAAATAAAAAAATCGTTTATTGCCTTAAGTACCCCATGAAAGTCTTGGGATGATTCTTATTTGGGTGTTGAAAAGTTGTGTGCTTTTCAGCACATTGTGACACACTTGTCATTCATTGTATAACTTACTGACGAATGCTGTGGAGTGCAGTCGGCGGGTTTATACAACTTTCTAAACCAGTTCTCCACAATCGCATAAGTTTATTCTTTAAGTGCGTTCAATTAGAAAAGACAAACATCGAAGTAAATATATTAAATTGAACTTATGTCATATGCTAACAAATGCATAGTGTTCAAAATAAAATAGAGAAGCCTAGTATCTCAGGACGGGGATGAAATTGTTTCCTGTCCTTCCAGCCTTTATATTTAACTATAGATATTTCTACATCACCGAGGTGGACAACACATATTCAACACTAAATGTATTAAGAAGTGAAACGTATCTTCAAGTTGTCAGAAGCCGCCCAACAACTACTTCTTCCATTAGGAATTGCCGTGGCAACATAAATCAATCAAATTGCCACGTTGCAAGTCAGAAGGTCTATTGCCAAGATAAAATACAGTACAAATATGACCGACAAACTCAGCTACAAAGATTAATAGCAACTCTGTGTTGGGCAATCTGGTTACTGAATAGCCCAAAGCGTCCACGAATATTAACTAGCAGTAAAACGACACGATATTTCATCTTTAGTCTCATTGCTTGTAGAAAACCTGGACTGGTTGACGAAACGTAGGTCGAAGGCTTTCTGCCGATTGCCTCCAGCCATCTAATACCAACAATATCTAGTAGGCTAGAATTTAAACGAAACTTCAGTCAACAGAGATGTGGACAAAGAACCAATCTGTATCCTTTTCAAGAAGAGAAAACAACCGCCTTCCAACCAAATGAGAAAAAATCAACCAAGCAGATCTAAAATGAAGCACAACAACTCGTAACCGACAAAATATCACAATCACATAACTCCGTAAACTACATTATTTCAAAACGTCATGAAATAAAAAGTTGTCACTTGAAGGTTTTCTCAATGTACGTCCAAACTATCCGAACCATTCATAAGCACTGGTTGACTTCACATTAGTGCTGAAAATTTTGATCTTGTTCCCTGTGCAATGTAATGTATATCTCCAAAGTGGTTTTAGGATAATGAAGGCCTATCATGCTTTTCCGATCCTGATTGACTTTGAAATCCTCATCGTTGGCACCTGTAGTTGCAAGGATGCTGCGCTGGCCAGGTAAGCAAAGCAGTTAACTTCCTTCTAATGAACAGCAAACTTTGAAAGCAATACATAGAATTTATGATCAATGGTCTGAGTGTTTGATTCAAGGTGATTTTCGAAGGTTTTTCAGTCGAGTTATCGGTGGTAGATGCTAACGTTTAACTTCTGTAACAGTATATTGTATAATAATAGTGAAGAAATAGGGTCAATCTTCACATGAATTCTTATTTAGGGGTTTATAATTTCATTCCAAATGAATATTATATAAAAGCATATAATTGATTATGTGGTGGCCAACTATGCAAAACAGCACTTATGATTAGCTTAAATAGTACTGATCATACTATTTCAGGTGGGTGATTATTTGGATAAATCTGATTAACATAGCAGTGATCCAGATTGACAGTATGCTTAAATGTTCACAGTCTTCTAAAGTCAACAACTTCGATGGCAGTAGAATTGGAGTGCACTTTTTCGCTTACATGGGTCACGTTGTTTTACCATCAAACAGTACGGGTGACAACATTAAGGCTAGCCAGTGTCGGAAAAGTAAGGCATACCTTCATTACTGTGAAGTCAGCGTGTGTGTGCGCGCAGTGCACAGGGGATAAGATCAGAATTTTCGACATTAATTTAAAGCCAGTCACTGCTTATGTGTGGTCCAGAAATTTGGCGCATCCGTCACGAAAAGCATTTCCCACAGGCTTCTGTGGATTTTCCGCCATAGCAGCTGCTCCCTTCGCTTCATACTGAAATTCAGATGGCCAGCTTGGAAAAATATGGAACTCTGTCAGGCAACGAATCAACTAACCACCTAATGCCAAAGAAAAATGAAGCAGGAAATGGAGACACATTGGACATATGTTAAGGAGGCCGTAGAGTGACATCACAAGCAAAGCATACCCTCAACTGGAAAAAGACTAGTTGGGCATGGGTCCTAAAACGACATGGAGCCGCCTATAAAAGTCTTTAGCGAAGGGAATGAAGTGGAAAAGTGCTTCTGAAGCCTAATATTCCACTTGGAACCCAAGAGAATAATAGTAATACGTGCTGCATGCAAAGATAAGCTGTGATCTTTGGAATCCATTACTTTTAAGGCGGCATTATTACACATTTTATGTAGCGTGGTAGTTATTTCATCTACTTGATATGCGAAATGCTCTCAAGACAGACTTGATATGAGGCTTATTGTGATAGTAAGTCGTCTGTACACAATACTCGTGAATATCAACTGTTCAACCCTTCTTCATCTTCACTGGTTTTCAGAGTGTTGTCGTTGTTGATAGCTAGCTCGATGTGGAAGGATTCCGCATGAACATACAGACAGAGATTTATCAGTTTTAGTCATTTACACTGAACTGTAGGACTAATCAGTTAAAATCTTTCATAATTCATCATTATTTAATTTTATAAAAGCTGAAATGTTATTTCTTATAACATGAATTAGCTTAAAGTAGTGTAGTTTTGTGATCAGTTTTTGATCAAATGTAAGTAACAATTTGATAAAGTTTGCGGTGTAATTCTCACTTTTGAAATGTACATTTTCGTTTCCAGGACCAGTTTGCATCGATACTTCGTCTGTATATGCATCAGATGAAGTGGTTGGATGGTTTGATCAGCCTAGTTACCTGGAGGTTATTATGACAGATATGCCACTTATGGTCAAGTTAGTATGTCTGTAACTCCTTAGTGTTTGATCACTATTGCTTTCTCAGCATTCCCCACATGTGACAGAAGCTTCTTGTGAGCAGACTTGGTGTGCAGTGTTGCGTAAGAAATATAAGTCACCCACTCAGGTAACTGGGATATAAGCAGCACATACCTTCATAGAGTTCATCTGTGTAAATGGGTTTCAGTTGACGAAAAGCGAAAGACAATCAGATCGAGACTTGGTACTAGTTTCTTGACTGTTCTCGAATGTGTTAGGAAATATTTATGTTTTTTGTTCAGAGTCCATATTGTGATGGGAATTTATGTCTGGAAAACCGAGATTACATGATTCAAATTCAATCGTCTCAAACTTTTCTCACTTGTCTACGTTCCGTGTGGGACATAGAGCTTCAAGAAGTTTGCTTGAGTCCTCCGTAGCCGTAGTGTCACTAGGCTCGTACCCAACGTTCCCCCTTTTCCAGGTTCGATCCTGCCTAAAAAGCCAGGTGAAGTTTGGGAATCGAACCCAGACTGTGTGCTTGACTGGCAGGCATATTAGCAGTGAACCCTCAGCGCTTAGAAGCAATTATATATCATTTCAGTCCAACTATGGTATCAAACTTCATTGTTTATTTCGTATCAATATATGCTGTCATTTTACACGTGTTGGTTTACAGGGATTTCAATGATTTCAAGTTTGATCACAAACTAAATTCAGCTAGAGAATTACTGAAAACTATCAGGGAGTATTGTACAGTTGTTTCGTCATACTATGAAACTCTTCGTCAGTACGCACCTATCTTCTTACAGCTAGCGACTGGACCCAGGACCTTCAGCTTACAAAGTGATCTCGTCGACTATTCAGCCGCTTGAACTGAATCTATGGATCACCCTTTGAATTCTGACTTCTGCCTATTTGCGACATATGGCACAACCGTCAGCTAATTTCATTGGCGAATATGTGTACTCAAGCTAAACTTGGTGAATCCTGCTCGTTACGGCTTCTCATAGAACTTCAGGTAATTTCATCTTGTAGTCATTTAGCATTAGATTACTGACGAGTGCCAACTAGCACGAAACCTAGCTCTGAGGCTTCCTGCCGATCGCCTCCAACCATCTAATATCATCAAATCAATGTGCACCGTGAAGGCGAACTACCTAGGATGGTGGCCACATTGAAAACGTGACTGATAGAATTCAGTCTGCACCAAAGAAAGGACTAGGCACGTCACACTGGTTACTAGTGTCCAATCAAACTACCCACTACAGTCCTACAGCAGGTCAATCGCGAGCCCAAATAGCCCAGCGGTAACGTCTGTGACTGTAGGCGGAACTGGGTGATCCAGGTTCGAATCTCAGAAGGGACATAAGTTACTTCAAGGTTGCAGATGCGCCTCGCTGACTGGTGAATGCCAGCTAGTATGAAACCTAGGTCCAAGGCTTCCCGCCTATTACTACCATCAGATTACTGTTGTATTGATAATGTTGGTGAGAGTTTGGCTCACTGTTGTGCTCTCTCACCTGAATGGTTGAATTGTGAAGCCTTCATTATTCATCACTACCTTTTATGGTTCTTCATGGAGATATGTAGGTGGACAATAGAAGTTTAGTAAATAAATCATCCAACTAATAGAATACATTTTGAAGTGTTGCTTTCCAGGGATCTGATTGATTTCAAGTTCGATCACGAACTAATTTCAGTCAGAGAACCATTAAAAGCCACTACGAAGTACTGGATGGTTGTTTCTTTCTACTTTGAGACTTTTCAAGAGTAAGAAGTGGTGATCAATGGAGTCCAGCAAGTTGAGTGTGAGGATGACCACTGCCTAGTGGTTAGGCAAAAGTTAGAGTTGATGGTCCAATGATTCCGTTTCGGTGGTTGGATAGTCAGCGAGTTCGCCTTGTATCTTGAAGATTCTAGGTTCAATACTTGATGGAGTGATAGGTGCGTACTGATGAAGAGTCCTGTCGAATATTCTTTAATAGTTAACAGTGTTTATCTAATTGGTCTTCATTGCTACTAATCACTACACGGGGATTTTTGTTTAAGTGTTAATCTCTTTTCTTCCTCGTCTTTTCTTGTTCAGTTTCTAATACCATATGGATTTCAATAATTTGGATGACCTCCTTCATAATCTGCTTCTGTTTATCTTAGAATATCATTGGTTGTATAATTTTCAATGGATTGGTGATTTATTCAAAGTTCAGAATAGTTCATCTGGATGCCATATATCCTCTGTTCTTGATAATTTACCTATATCTTGGAAGAGTGCATTGCAAACTGCTAGCCTTGAAGAATTACAGGTGTGTATATTAATAAATTGACTTGGCGGGTAAACATTTTGATGTATTTAATCATTTGTTAAAGTCAATTTAATCTTTTCCGTCGATTGACAGCGCCAAAATGTTCAGCCTCTGTATTGAAATGTCGTCGCCTAGTGCGGGCGCTTCGGCGATGGCTCAGGATTAAAGTGATCTTATTAGGTTGATGCTGATTACTAGTGGAATTCAGGACGTATATTTTGTCCTATTTCTGATTGACTTTTCATTTGGAGATTCGAAAAAAGGGATGCTGGGCTTGAGTTTCAGTGGGAACACCACCAATCATTGAGGACTGAAGGGACATCCAGCTGACGAGTCAGTCCGGAATAAGAAGAAATGTACATCCTGAACTTCACCTACTATTCGATATCCAATAAATAACTTCCTGTTGGATTTAATTTAAGTGACACAATTTTTAAGATCTAAATATCTGTGTAGTTTTAAGTAGTTTGGTAAACTACTATTTCCATTTTCATGAGATAATGGTGAAAGTAGTTCATTTAACTTTGAACCGACACTATAGTATAGATAGCATGCACTTCAAGGGTCGGATTCGAACCAGAAGCCTTTGGATTACTATTTCAGCTCTCTACACTATTTGATCTGTGCTGCTAACCAAATGTTTTCACTTGAACTTCAATCCTTAGGCATCACATCAATAGTGAATTATCTTAGATAGTCTCACCATTGATTAGATAAAAACAGAAAACTATGAAAAGGAAGTTTCATGTTACTGTGAGACTCTTTAAGTTATCTGATGTCCGTCGGTGGTTGAATAGTAAAGTGCCTGGCAGCCACGTACGTGGTCTTGTGTCCTCTTTCCGACCAATACGCTCTTAATTCTCGCGTAGTTTACTAGATGGTATTAAGTTTGGAAGAAATGGATGATTGGGTGTGGGGTTAGAATACCACACAGGGATGTGGATCCCTCGTGAGCCAACAAGTGTTACTTTCAAGTCACATCAACGTTGTTTAGTAATAAAGAGTTTTAACTCGTTTGCTTGCTGCATAAATGATGTGATTGTATTTCATGATTAATCACCCAGGATGCTTAGATTTCATTGTGTGAATATAGAATGGTTATAGTACATACTACTATCAGTAATCGGAGGTTGTAAATGAAATGCTGTCCGACTCTTTGGATCTCTATTAGCTGTCTTCCCAGATATCATATTTCTAAAGTAAGTGTACAAATTTCAACAAAGAAATATATGTAATTTGATAAAGTTTGACGTAGTCTATCTCAAAGAAACAATCTCCGAAAATTTTCTACTCAGTATTTAGAAGACTGACATATCAAAGAGCTTTGGAAAATTGGATTTGATTACGATAGGCGTCAGTATTATACAATACCGAAACAATTCTGCAATATGATAATACATTTGATATTCTGGCTGCCAAGTAGTGGATTCGAATCTAAATTGGAATGCGGTCACTCCGTAAGTTTTGTAGGGATTTTGATCAATTTCGTCACGAACTGACATGAGTTAGTCAAGAGATGAGAAGCAGAGGTCACTAAACAACTGTTTCGTGCTACTTCAGTAGTGTGCATCAGTGTACCTATCAGGGATCGGACACAAAGTCATGAGGCAAGCATGTTGAGCATCCAAACAGTGATTTGGAATCCTACGACTCATCAAGTCTAACTTCACGATAGCCATCTATCGAGAATCATCGGAAGTTGGGATCCTAAGGTCATTGGATTCTTAATCATTCACTGAATAATCAGTGGGCTAACTTCGTAAACTGAAAGTCCTAGTTCCAGTCCCTGATGGAGAGTTCTAAATTAGGACAGCCTTACAGTGGTGCTTGATTTTAATGATTTTCCAAATGATTTCGGTTTGTGACAAAATTCACATTGAAATTGTTATATTTTCTGAGGAAACTACCACAGATAGCCTTAGATTGACAAACTGATATTGATGTAAGTGAGGATAATTAAAGGTAAATTAGGAGCTGAACTGGAAACTTATGAATTACTGGCCGATCCATTTACAATTATATACATAATATGGCACAATATGATTTAAGATGTACAGATTAAAAGAAACTAATGTTCCATGCAACATTGGCACCTTTGGTAGTCAATAGAGCTGTACGTGTCTGACTTCCACCCAGCGGGTCACAGGTTCGAAAGCCGGTACATGCACTGATGTTCGGGAAGTTTTAGCAGTGTAATCACCCCTCACACAATAGGTGTATCTTATTATCAACTGCATGGAATCGCATTCATTATTATAGTGTGAAATGTTACCTCCCAGCGATTTAAGCAACAGTCATCATTGGTGTAAAACTGTGTTCAGTCGCAAGCTGTGCTGTGGTCTCTATTCCTTAATGTTGATATAATTTTATCACGTTGCAAACTCTGTTGACACAATTCATCCAGCATCAGGAATTAGACAGAATATGGAGCTGCTTACTCCTGCAGTCATAACTCTATGGACTAAACACTGGGAAATACCATCGATGAGATATTATCCCCATGTGCGATTTGATAAATCTCCACTGATCGCAACTTTCAACATAATTCCAGACAACCCATCTCAAAACTTGATATATAGACCTAATTTTCCACATGTCCTTTTTACATGTTTGTATTTCTCTCATACTACTTATGACCTCTGTCAATCATTTTCGCTATTGACATGAGATAAGCTCTCCATGTCAATAGTCAGTCTTCTCTTACTGTCTTCTTGTGTTGCGTTTTCGATGGTATAGTATCAAGGTGTTGTTACTGTCGTGGTTGTTACTAATAGTGGTTAGAACAATAGGCTCGCGAATCAACTAGGTAGAAAATTCGTTGGCGTAAGTACCAAGTGTATGAACGGTCATATCAAAACTAATCACTAACAAGCTGTGGGTTGATTGTATGCTGATGGATTCATCTTTCCATGGTATAATTATGAAAATGAGACCGAAATGTAGATTGATTTGATAAACTGCTGTCAAAATATCTCAGACTTTACATAATATATTCTTTCTCTGTCTCTTTTCCCTCTCCTACTCTTTTCATTTAAGATGTTTGTTTCCGGTATTTCGAGCTCATATCATTGGCCTGAGAGCCTTTTAAATTTCTCTAATCAATGTCGTCAATATACACGATTATTATCTAATTATATTTTATTAAATCCTAATCACTGTCCTCTTCATACATGTCATTTGAATGTTAACAGTATGTGTACAGATTTAATAACATCTATAAATGTTGATAAAATTGAAAGCGATTACTTTTTAAAAGTTTCTCAAAAGAAATCCTATGAACTTAAACAAATGTCTACACTGATTCAAGCAATCTTGTCTTCAGTATTGAATAATGAATCCCGCATTTCATTGAGTCAGAATCAAATAGTTTCTTCAAATGAATTAATTGTGAATAATGATGATCAGTTATGTGGTAATTTTCAAACTTTTCGTTTAATTAACGAAACGATTTTAGAAAAGGACAATGCTAAAGGTTAGTATGATATTATTCATTATAACTTATTATTATTATTCCCAGCGTGTGTCCGATCCGCCACCATCTCCTTCGGCATATATGTTGGGTGATAGGTTCTTGGTTAGTTCACTGCCGAAGGGAGTTTTTGACCATGTGGTCTAAAGAATGGAGTTAAGGCAGCTATTGATGAAGTTTGAAGCTAGTTCTAAATGCTCATACAAATTTAAAGAGTCGTGGTCCAATTAGGAATGAGCTAACAAATGACTTTGAAGCGACCAATCAGAGTGGACTAGGCTAATCTAGATAAACGACGGTTATGGAAAGAGTTGTTAATCAGCTGATTGACCCAGATGTCAGCAAAATGAAATCTACCAGTCAGGGAACGTATAAGTTGCCTACATTTGCGTAGGTGTTATGTTGATTCGAATCTCACTGGGGACATGAGTTCCCTCAATATTTCAGATACACCTTTCTGACAAGCGCCAACAACCAGGCAACCTTGATGGGAAGCATCGTGCCGACTGTCTCCACCCATCGAACACACATATATATATATATATATATATACTTGTACAAGGTTTGTATTTATTTTCCCACCATCCATTAGGATGTATATTTTTACAAGAATTTCCATTGTTTGTCATTCCTAAATATTTTTAAATTCCCATGCATACTTTTCTTTTTATATTAACAGCCTCATCTATTGACACTGCGATAACACTTGTTGATATTGGATCAGGTTTAGGGTATCTGCCCAACTATGTTGGTTATCGATTACTGCAGTCTTATGACCACCTATCCGGAAAAAATCAGCAGCTGAAAGTGATTTCAATTGAATGTGATGAAAAGCTGCATTGTAAAGCTTTGAAAAATCTACAAGTTTATGATTCTATACAACAAACAAAACCGTTAAGTTCAGTTATTGAAAGAATATTATTTCGTGTTGAACTATCAAATTTAGATTTACTGCAGACTAAGTAAGTCACTCTTAATAACAATTAAAAAATGATTCGAACTCTAATCAAGGTTTAACTGAATAGTCCCATGAAAATTGGGCGCCCAATGAAAAGTAGACATGTGTGAGAAGTATGTCTGCACAAATTTCAACGGAATTGAAAAATAATTTTAACGTTTCACGAGTTGATCACGGATTGATATCAGTTAGAGAACCATTGAAAACCAGGGAGTACTGGACAGCTGCTGTTTCATCCTAGTTTGGGAATCATCGGCAGTACGCACCCACTGGGTTTCGAACGTTTCGTTCGGCAAGCGGATCCGAACTTCATTACGGAAATAATCAAATCTTGATCACGCTTCCTGCCTCAGATGTGACTGGACGTGAATTTTAAAGACAATATATATGTATATTATCGTAACTGTAATTATTTCCTCGAAGAAATTAGAACCGATTAGCCGAAAAAAGCGTTGAGATTGTTTATTTCAAATTCCTTCAGATTTTTACAAATCATGATTTTCGCAGGTGTTTACTTATTTCAATAATTTAATAATTCCCATTGTAGCATTAAGAACACAATTTTCAGCGAAGAGACTCTTTTCAACGAATTTATTATCAAGCTGTACAATCGTATATATATGGTTTTATAAAGAAATTATATCCGGTGAGGGAATTAGGTCAAAGGTGTAAATACATGAAATAATAATAGTATGAAATAAATTTAAAATATTTGTGATTAGGTTCATAGTTTAAGTCAAGTGGAACAATAATTAATGTCATATATAAGATAATACATCAGGTGTATAGATTTTGGGGAGAGGCATATAATTGTAAGATTAATAGACGAATGTAAAATGTTACGTAACATGGTGTGAAATTTGATAACATAGAATTTAATATTGTAAAAATAAAGATAAAAAGTATACACATGAATAATTTTTGGTTTAAAATGTCAAGTAGATCAAGTGGAAAAGATTCAGAATGAGAGTCGTAATAATAATAATAATGGTAATAATAATAATGATAATAATAATAATAATAATAATCGAAGTAATAAGGGAAAAGTACATAGAATAATAAAATAAATAAATGTCTATCCCTCTACGGCCAAGGCAGCAGTAGGGATTGTACATACTTCTTTTGTACACAAAGGTCTGGCTTAAAGTCATGAATTGCCAAGGCCTCAGCTGTCTTTAGAAGTCTGTAACGAAGAAAACGCGGGAAGTTGGCATGAATTCTATATAAGACCTTGAAATCATGGTCAGGGTTGACCGCGTGACAGGAGTCGATGAGGTGTTCTAAGATAGAGCTTCGTACACATTTCCTTTCTCCCTTGTAAAACCAAGCTGGAATATGTTCTCGTATCCGTGTGGAGAGCATTCTCTGACTACGGCCAATGTACCTTGCTCCACAAGAGCAGGTGAACTGGTAGATGCACATTATTTATTAATTTATTTCACACACTTTAAACTACTTAAAATTGTTTCAGTAGTAAGTGTAACATAATTACGTCGATGTTATTCAATGTTTCTTTTTGATAATACTGTAACGACAGAAGATAAGGACCAGGGAACAGATCGTTTATTAAGAAAATCAATAGATATTTATAGATTTTTATGTATATTATTGTCAGCGGAGAAGCAACGTCTTCTGATTGGTTTTTCTTGCTGAAGGTTATTCTGTACTGCTTGTGACCGTTTTTTAGGAAGTTAAGCCATATATCTGCGAATCGTATTTGTACACGTTAAGTCTGCTGTGATTGGTTGTTGAGTCCCTCAAGATTAAGCTTTGTTATTGTTTTTTCTCATGACCCTGATTCGGGAAGTAAACATTGACGTAAATTGTTGTCTAAAATTTTGGCTTGCAGACAGCTCTCACCACAATACTACTCATTTTACTCAACAAAAATTTGGATTTATATGCAGTTCACAGTGAGTGATATCTACTTTGTTGTAACAACAGTAGGCGAAACACGGGAGGCAAGGTACATTTTCCATTGATCAAACCGCTGTTTATGTATCTACAGTTTATATTCGCTAACCAATCACTGAGCTTGTGATTTCGGTTTACATCAAACGACAAGAAATAGAATGTTCAAATGTACATAGTATTATGTTGCCAATGCAGTATTGAACTGTGGGAATAACACTGCTACTCTAACATCAAATAGTATGTTCAAATAGATATATCGTATTCTGTTACTAATGCTGAATTGAACTGTGGGAACATGTGAGAATAACATTTCGTTGGCATACATTGTTTGTATCACAGCACCACAGTATAAGGCCTAATATAAATCCATAGCTGTCCAAACCTTAGTAGGTAGAAGAGAAGATTTTAACCTGGGACCGAGTCGAGAACCTAGGTCATCGCTGTCACTCTTCAACTTGAGATACCTCATTTTGTATATTCTCAACTTTACGCATGATCAATTCTAGTTGTTTCAGATGTCTTCACTTGTCAAAAGCTTTATGAATAAGATTGTTTTGATTCAGTGTTTAACTTGTGACATCTTGAACTGAGATCATCTCCTTGGTCTGTAACGCAATGATTTCAGTTTTTGTATTTGAAACATCTGTCGGTAGTTACTTAGCTATTCTCTATTTCACATGTTGTTGTCGGGATATTCGAAGAGTTTACAAATTAGGCAGCTGCATTGTATGTCGGTTTGTTTATCAACGTTCTGAATGAGTTTCAAGAGAGATATTCAGTTGTTATCTGAAAATTCGACCCATGGAGAGCCAACCCACTTGTTTTGTGGAGCAAATTAGTCTAACTGGGTAAATAACACCGTACTATCAAAAATATGATGAAAAAGGTTTAGGAATATTAAAGAGGATATGTGGTGAGTTTAAGGTTAAGTTAACGGTAGTATAGGGGACCCGAATTCGGTTTTCCTTAAAGCGACTTGTTGTTTTTAGCTTGACAAACTCCCAATGATCTGATTCATATTTATTTATATCTTATCTTTTACCTTATTTTCGAACATCTTATAGGCTTCATCAATTGTCCTGTAATCAAAACTATCTTCTAACTGGTTTACATTGTTGTGGAGATTTAAGCCAATCCATCATTGAATTATTCCATAAAGATGAAACAGCAAAGATTTTACTACTAGTTGGATGCTGTTATCATAAAATGACAGTGGAAAAAGTGAGTTACTTCATTATGCATACGTCTATATGAATGACGTTATTGTTATTACTACCGTTGAACCTTGGCACTGTGATATGGTCACACAGTGATATACATTCTCATTTACTGATGACATTTCGAGCACAATTTAATGCTACTCATAATCATATCAAGGCTCTCAAATAACTTTCTAGTTTCGTTTAAATAATTCCGTTATTTCTTATCCGTCTTCCTATGATAATCACAGGGGGATTAGCCTGACCGATATGGTATCTAAAGTTCTGGGCCCAATAATCACGCGTAGATTGAGTGGTGCTAGGAAGAAACAAACACGAGAGAACCAGGAAGGCCCTTGAACAGAAAGAGGGTGTATTGATCATATCTTCACCCTTTGTCAGATTCTAGAATATAGGCGTACTTTCTGGCGTCCAACAATCGTCATATTTCTCGGCCTAAAAGCGAACATAGTAGGCTCGGTTGGGATACACCAACTGAAACTATCTCTGGCCTAGATGTGACATCCGTCTGTCGACCAAAGGGCGTGTATACTGCTCAGTGGCTCGCTCCCTCCTTTTTTATGGCTATGAGACATGGACTTTGTAAGTGGAAAATATGATAAGGCCAACTAGCTGTCTTTGATCATAGGTGCCTGCATTCTATCTCCCGTGTGAAGTGGTATAATAGGCTGAGCAATATTTACGTTAGGCATTGATTGAGTGCTAGGTAAGGGGGGAAAATCAGTCGACGAGTTTGTGAGGTTACACCGATCGAGATAGTTAGGACATGTATTACGCATGTATGAGTAGCTATGGCCTTCCTCGACAATGATCAATGTTTTTTTGTTTGATTACGGTTTGATTCCACATCGTATTTTTGGTACAAGTATGGAATTTTCAGCATGGATATCGGTAGCCCAAGTTTTGCAGGCCGACCATAGATACCAGGTGTGCGTCGGCAGGGGATGGAACATTGGACCATGTGCATGCTCGGTGAGAGTCCTAACCACTGTGCCACCGACGCAGTTAGCTGATGTAGGAGGAATCTGGTTGGTAAAAAGCTAGCCAGTGGTGATCAAACCGAAACATGGTATAATTCAACACAATCCAAAACAGTTAGTTTTAGCCAGCCACATATATAGATGTACACTGCCAGTCTGGTTGGTGTCCTAGAGATAGTAAAACGATTGCCTGGAGACCATCAGTAATGTGGCTCAAAATCGTTCTCATTGGCACGGTTGCATCCACTCCTTGTGATTTATCATATCCAATAAAACACAATTGTTTCTCTGTATTATTAGTCTTTTTCCTTAGCACTTCTGTTTATTATCTCCCTTTCTCTCTCTTTTGAATCTCTCTTTACTGTCTTCTGTTGCTTTGTGTGCTTTATGGAGCATGGCAACTCTAACTTCTGCACAACTGTGCAAAGTTCTCTGTTAAAACCATTGACTCACTAACCTGAAATTCGACAGTCAGATATTAGTGCTTGCGAAGCCATCGGATGTGTTAGCACAAGACATGTTTCTAAGCCACTTAAACTCATAAAATTATGCGTGAACTGGAATTCGGACACATTTATGCCGGTTTTTTCGAGTAGCTCTGCAAACTGTCTTCAACTTCCCGCAGCTTAAGGTGACCCAGGTTGGTGAATACCAAGTCAGCCGACCTACCGAATGGCCTTGAAACACCAACTGTGTATCACTGTATCAGAATCTATACATTGGTAGGAAAATAGGCGTTTCAATTATCTGGTTTATAAAGGTTTCTACCTACCCCTCTACATTGGTGGACTTCATAATGAGTTAGAATGAATGGCTGTGCATCATTTTAATTCGTTAACTATTTATATACCAGGTAGAATTTTTCTGCATAAGCCTCAAACACTGTCCATAGATTTCGAGTGCATTATTCATTCATAGTCATTCCTGTTATTTCAAGTGAAAAATTTGGCTTCAGCAACATATCTCCCCTGTATTCTGTTCCATTCCGTCTTTTTAGTTAGCTTAACAACTCTCCATAGGCTTTCATTTCTTCTCCACATGGCCTCCTCCATATCACCCTTGAACTCCTAACTTGTCGCTTCCATTTCAGCTTCAACTCGAGGAACTGCTTGGTGTGTGATGTCACCAAACTTCTTCCTCAGCGTATGTCGACTCGTGTCCACTTCTCTCTGTTCATTTATTGGCTGTTGACTTTCAGATTTCCCTCTTGCTTATTCTTTTAGCCAGGCCATCTGATCTTCAGTATCAAGTCAGTAATGACAGGTGTTGACCACACTTAGCAGTAGCCTTTTGGAAATACGTTTGCCGACATACACGTCAGGTTTCTGTATTATATAGAAACGCTGAATGGCTTGACATTGGTGTTGAAAATCAGAACCTCCTTCCTCGTAGATCTGTACACTAATTTCACATTAATGAAAGTCTGTCTTCCTATTTCGACCCTGGTCGTCTTCCATATCCTCTTCCTTGTCGCCTGTAGTTAAGGTGATACCGCCTATGACAATTCTTTCGGTTGATAGAGATCGGTGCTTGTGATTGGTGGCTGAGTATCTTCAATGCATCTCTCTGCTGTATTTCCACTTGAAGTCCTGTCTTCGATATCTCTTATAGCAAATTGTTGATTTTAGCCTGTAGATATTCAAGTTTTTGCATCCACAAAGTCAATTTCTTCTAGGCTTCATTCAGCTCGACGTATGTCTGGCGTCTCACACCCCATGGTCTGTTGTAAGACGGATTCCACTACAGTTCCGAAAATCATTGGTGACAGTAGGTTGTTTTGTCTAACTCGTGTATTTATTTCTAAGGCCTCATTGAGCTTTATGTGGATAGCCTGTCGTGTGGCATTGTCATATAGATGTTGGATGAGATTGATAAAGGTTGTGGCACTCCACAGTGTTGAAACAGATTTCCAATTACTTAGTAATCGACGCTATAGAGAATTGAACGTCATTCTAGTCAGTGCTCGATGATGATGCGTAGTGTTGCACTTTGATGCGTGCATGACGTGTTTTCGAGTGAATGTGTACCAACTGCGAAATCTATAAACTCAATTTCATATTTCAATGTATAGTATTCATAATAATTGCTTCGACTGATCAATACACCAGTCATTACGTTATTTGCTCCATGCTCATTTAATAGATCATCATCAGTTGACCGTTATTTTTTTATATTTCTAACTTCCATTTCGGTTATTTTGAGGGTTTAGATCCTGCCATGGCTTAAATTCTTCTTCTTTTGTTTTGAATTGAAGTGGCAATCAGTCACATGCATACACACACGCACTTCCTCTCATACTGGATTACTCAGAATTATCTACTGATGCAATTTTTATGGTGGATATCATCCAGAGTTGTTATGGCGTGAAATTGATTTTGAATTATATATATATATATATATTTATGAATTTGATTTTTCCTAAATCTATACTGTTGAAGTTTTCATCTCTAAAATTCTACTATTTAGAGATTTAGATCATAAAAAATATTGAAAAAACCATTGCAGTGAAGAAAATTTTCTTTCGACGAAGCCTTCAAGCAGACTGCGCATTTCTGCAGTAAATAGTAAATGCATAAGAAAGTTCCAGAACTATTTCCGGTCAGGGGTCAGGTAAATAAGATTGCAAGTAGGGCTAATGGCAAAATATACAGAAAGATCGGATGTGCTCGCAAAACACGTTCAGGAACACTGTCCAACCTTGCTAGCAAAGGGAGAACACAGATGTGTATATGGTTCGGTAACAAAACACCTCGTGAACTCAGAAAATTCAACAGTGTCCTGTCACAAGGATCGAACGTGGAACCTTCAGTTTACGAGACGAAGATCATTGACAATTCAACCAGTTGGGCAGGAATTCACTGATTCATGACTTCTTTGTCAACTTGTGAGATAGCACCATCGATGAGCACCCACTTCATCCTGACACGGCGGACATAATTAGCCACGACTTCAAGGTGCAGCTTTAGGATATACATTTATTAGTCGTAAAAGAGCTGTAGGTTTGTATTTAGATCGTGCGTTTTCTTAGGGATTCGGAATATGTTCATTGTGGATTTCCATCACTGATGGAGTCGTGGGTGCGCACTGCTGGAGTAGTACAGACTGCAACGTAACACCTCCCTAGTGCTCCCTGATTTTCAACGCTACTCTAACCGATGTTGCTTCGTGACGAAATACACATTTAAATTAATCTGCATTCCTGAGAGACACTATCATCTAAATATTTATGTATATCGTTATGTATTCTGGAGGGGAAAAACAGCAGTAGGTTTTGGTGTTTTGTACTTCTGTGAAATTTGTTTAATGCATATTAATTGAAATGAATAAAATATTGTTCACTCAAAGATTTTGGTTTGTGTTATTGTTTGGTTGTAAGATTTGAATCTGGTATAGGACTCGTCAGTGGTCCAAGGGTGAACCGCTCACCAACCATAAGCAGGTCCGGGATCAGTTTCCGACTGATACACTTCTAAACTTCTACTAGTTCACTAGCTGATAGCAAGCTCTGAAGTAAAAGGAAAGTTAGTTTTGAGGCTAATAACCAGATGGCGGATAAAAAAAACACAAACTCTTCGGAAATTGAAGCTGTATGCTCCACTTGGAATGTAAAGGAATGAAAAGAGAGATGAAAAAGCCATTGACCTGTGATGACTGAGTGACAGAGTTTCAACATAAAACTCTACACAAAAATAGAGAAAAGCGAGTTCAAATAAATAATAAAAAGGAGAAATATGCGGGACAAAGAATGGTAACACAGAAAAACATGAGGTTTTTTAATGGATATGGGAGATTACAAAGAGGATTGAATATATCCACACCATTGAGAACAGTTTAGAGCCATATGACCAACAGTCCCAAGCCACGGGTTCTTAGAATCTTGAGGAGCCCAACTAGTCAGTCTATACCTTCCTACATGGTTCAAATCAACTGTCACCAACTTTGTGGATTAATGACAGGTTTCGGTTTGACCACCGTTAATCTTTTCTGACCTAATCCCAGGTCACCTAAGATCGCTCGATAAGGGAGGCGGTGTCTTGGCATGCGTAACACAGCGTCTGCTAGGATTCGGTTTAATTCAATCCCAAAGCATCAGCTTATTACTCTGCTCTGTCAGATAGCAGTCGTTCTAACAGGAAAATCGTTATTAACTTTTGGTTCCTCTCATATATTCTTTGTGTTGTTTTTCTGCTTACAGTTCCCCACTAGTGATTATCTGCGCGAAGCTATGGTGAATTGTGACTCGACCTTCATTAGAAAATGCATCTCTCCAGCTACCCTACGTTTAGCCTGTCAACATTCACCTTTAATTTGGTTAAATTGGACAGAACACGATTCAAATAAACATCGTATACGTCTGTTGGCTCGATTAATTTTAGATCTCACCTTATGCAAGCATAATTATTTGTCCAATAACGAAATTGAAGAACATTTACACAAACGATTAGATCCTGTGTCACATTGCGAGGTGATTAAAAACCTTTTGACAACAGGTGATGAACACGAATTACGTAATTGTGATGGTCAGTCGGGATTATTATTATCATTTGATAAGATTTATACTGCATTAATTGATTTCTGGAATAGATATCTTTTGGATATTGTACACCCTGACAAACGAATGAATAATAGAGACGATGGCGATGACACCAGTAACATTAATAATCAATATTTTATTGACTATCGTGAACACTTTGAGTCTGTGTGGAAATTGATACCAGGTCTTTTAGCCTTACAACAATTATTGCAACCATTACTTGAAAATATTGTACTGTTTGATCGTTTATGGTGTCTAAGAGAAACTGGCAGAAGTAATAGTAGATCTGTTACTGATCCATATCAATTTTCTGGTTATATTCGAATTTTTGATCCCTTTCTCTCACCGAGATGTATGGCATTATTAGTATATAAAAGTGAATTGTCTTAAGAAAAACTTTTTCTTTCCTTTGATTGGATCAATTTCTAATTTTTCTCTTAATGTATAAATTGATATTGATGCCTTTTATTATTTAGATTTTTACTGTTTACAGAAATTCACTGATTATTTAGTGTAAATATTTACGTATTATTGTAGACTCTGTCTTATTTGTTTACACAACTGATTAGTCAGTTACTATTATTATTATTCCCTTGTGTTCTGAATGAATCATGGGTGTCAACATTACATCCCCATGTCATTCTGTTCCCTGTAGTCTTATTTAGCTGGCTCCACGATTGCGTATAAGCTCTCATCTCCTCCCCACAATCTCCTCTATATCATTCATGGATCCACCGAGTCTGTTTCCATTCAGGTTGCATAATGACACTGAACTGTTATCTTCTAAGTGTGTGTCCGATTTATCTCCACTTCTTTGGACATATTTGTTGGGCTTGGTTCTTGGATTGTTCGTTTCTAGAAATCCTTACTGCAGATCCCTCCCTGCTGGTCATCTGGTCTTCAGTGTAGAACCGGAAAATGCTGCTATTGATAAGAGTTCCTCAGCAGCTACTTAAAAATAATTTCCTTCACTCCTACATTATGACTGTGAACCATAAAAAAGCACTGACTGACTTGATAATAATGTTGAAAATCTCAAACATGTTCCTTATGGTTAGTGAAGTAGATTTTCAGAATCACTTCAGATACATGGAGGTCTGTTCAGCCTTACAGAACTTGTCTTTAACGTCTTCATTACCGGATTGATACAGTGTTTTTATTGCGAATGATGGTGCCTAGCAATGGAACCTAATAGAAATGCGTTTCGTTCAACTTCCGAACGATTCCTGAGTAAGATATATCTACATTCACAGTGAGTTTTAGTATTTACAGTGAAGAGTGGAAAATAGGACGTTATGCATATCTTTTGGATCCAAGTGTTTGTCAAATTCAAACAAAATGTGCACATCATATTTATCCTCAGATATATTTGAATTATCCTGAGTCGGAAGACTTCAATTGTAGCGTCTCTGACTGAAGAATAAGGTGACACACTCTCAAATATCAGGATGAGTATGAGTTCCCATAACACTACGAAAATGGCCCGCTGACTGGTGAGTATCAACAAGCACAAAACAACGTGGGTCAAAGCCTTCCTACTGATTGCCGCCATACATCCTACATCAGTCGATTGTGAATGCCAATCAACTCAGAACACGGATTGGCACAGTATTCCTCACTGGATGTCGGTTCGAGAACAGACTTATTGAGAATGCGTTAGTCGGGAAGGCGTATTCTTTCCGTAACTTCACAGCAAATATTTACACTAAACTAAATCTTCGGAAATGTCATTGGAGATGCCGACAGGCTTCAGATGGTGTTATTAGTCAGTGACAATCCATGCATCACCATTGATGATAGAGGAAATCAGTGAGCTGTGAAAATTGATTAGATGATCTTACGTGATCTAGATGGTTGAGTGATGAATCACGCTTATATGTAGTTATGATCGAAGTTGTGAAAGCACGGAGAAATGAATAAGGCTTGCTCATTTGCGAATCAGAGTAAACCGGTCAACTCGAAATCAAGTTCTACATTACAGAAGTGGCGTACATATTAGATGGTTGGAGACAAATGACAAGAAGCACTGGATCTGCGCTATTTTATTATTCTCACTCAGCGTTACCAGGAAGGAACTGTCTCCCTAACGGAGAATTGAACCTTAGTAAGTCAGTACTACAGTCGCAAAAGTTAAAATGTACCTACATAAATGCACGCTGCGATTGCATTTTACATCGGTATTATGCGATGACATGTCTATCGACAACCAAAATCATTATTCGACTAAATATGCAGAGTGAACCTGCCAATGCAGTTGGCGAAAATCTAGCTTGATTTTACATCTGCCTTATGATGAATTCTCTCTCATCTCTGTCACTGTTCTACGCGCATATCTGCTAATTAACCCGATCGGATTTCTAGAACTATCAACAGATTAGCATGTTGTAGTCGATCCAGGATTTGTGCTACAACCGTCATGGCACGTGGTCAGTCTCAATTCTCTTAGTCTATTCAGCTCTCCGAAATAAACTCAAAGTCTCTACTTCACCTCGACTTTCCCTAACAACAAGACTCAAGAGCAGTATGGACTTTTGGCTTCTTCAGTTATCTCCTCAACAACCGCTTTGCAAATTTGTCCGCATATTTCTCCTTCGATATTCACTGCCACTCGTTGTCTTTCAAGGCTTATTCTCCCCTATTCTTCAGTGCAGTTCTGCTTTCTGCACTAACACAGTCACTGAAAAGAGTCCTCTATACTCTGTTGTCAAAACGCCGGCTGAATGAAACATCAAATTTCTGCTATACAGTATTTCACTAAGAGACAATCGTGCCCATCCGATTTTGACGACATCACTGATAGTGTGAAAAAGAAACTCTCCACATACCATGTTCATCCTTCTGTTGTGTCTACGTTTCGATTCAGCTGATTCTCAGCAGCAGCGAACTCACAACAATTTGCATAACATCTCGGATATCACTAGAAATGTGTTGCTAATTCAGTGTCCACTGCCTGATAAAGCACACTCATATGAAACGCAGGAAATAAACCTACTTGCTAGAACCTGACCAAGTCTATCGAATAGAAAGTGAATAGACGAGCACGATACACAATGTGAGAGTGAAGGAGGAGCGTCGAGTGTCGGCGGAGGAGGAAGAGAAGGAGAAGCGCATTGCTTTTTATCGGACTAAAGACTTTATTTGATGCAGTGACAGTGAGAGTTGACGAAGTGTCAACTAATTATGCATGAAGACATCATTGATTAACTGATTGATTGATCGATTGATGAAGAAGAAGAATCGGGTCTGGATGTCATCTAGTACAGGGCCACAGAGCAACAGATCGACTGACCAGCTGACTGACTGGCCGGCTAACTCATATCGAGCTGCATTCGAAGTCGACACAGTGTTTGCCGCAGCACTCCTCATCCTTCTGACACAGGTAGCCATCCTCCAAGCACTTGACACAGATTCCTCTCTTCGGGTTCTTCATCTTGCATGTGTGTGGTGGACAGCACGGATTCAATCCCACCTGATCACATTCCTCATAGAGTTGAGCGCAAGCGTCGACGCCGTCTAAAATTCAAGTGGAGAATGAGAAAATACAAGTGGTTTGGTTAGTTTGTGTGATTGTTGTTATTATTGTTGTTGTTGGTGGTGGTGATGATGATGATGTTGGGTGAGTAGAGGACACTAGAACAGAGGAGTGGAGAGGAGAGGACAGAAGAGGGTATGAGAGGATGGGAGAGGATAGTAGGATGTCTCACTGGCGAAACTTTACCCATGGAATAATATGAACGCCTACACATTCATACATATATATAAATGTATATATAAAGCCGTGCAGTTATAGTTTTAGCATAGTTATAGATATATCATTATGCACCCATTAATGTTTGATGATATATGTAATGTGGGGAAATGTGAGTGTAGCACTCTGATTTCCATGCACTCACCATGCATGACGAAGACGAAGGCGAGGATGGTGATGAGAAGAAGAGGGAGGAGAGAGATGACTCCTTGTTTCATCCTCACTGTCGGAGATTCTGTTGTCGATTCGACTGCTGGCTTCTCAACTTCATCACTGATATTTATATACCTGTTTCATGAGTGATTGACTGAATGAGTGGGTGGTCGTGTAGGTGTGTGAGTGTGTGTATCTATGTGTGATTCATGAGTATCAAAGTGCTACTCATGTGTCATTCAACACCACCACCAGGGTGTACGTGATATTCGCACACGTCGGTGGATTGTGTCTTCATCGTGCCATTCAAGTCTCCATTTTCAATGAGATGATTGGGGTCACACGTCAAATGTCAGTGACTGACTAGATATTTCATTTGACGAATAATTTCTGTGGACCTACCATCTCTCAGATGAACACCTCGAAAGTGTTACATCGAGATTTGTCGATGTATAAGCGCGCGTAGTAGTAAAGGTAGTAGGTGACTGATGTTTCTGATTTTTACGTGTCGAAATATATTTAAATTTTGACTAGCAAGTGTGAATCCCATGCTGTCCTATCTGTATGTTTGCGCTTATCTTTTTCTACTTAATTATTTTATTCCCACTGATTCCGAGGGAACCTGTGCCATCATGGTAGAGCCTTGAATTTCCAGTGGCAGTGGTTTTACTTGACTGGGTGGGTATGCAGCGCTCACGGCGAACTTTACATCCTTTTCCGACCCTACTGCATCAGGGACGTTGATGGGTTCGTCAGCTGGAGATCAGATCCCTCACGACATGTGTAATTGTTGTGAATTTTATCACTTAACCACTGACGCACATGTTTGTGATAACAAACAGTAATGTTACAGACAATACAGCCAATAAAATATGCATGAACGTTTATAGCAATGACAAAATTATGGGAAGGTAAATTCGAGTGAAATGATCAACGAGAATATTTGGAGGAAATAGTAATATAACTATTAAGTATTGATATTAGGGCTTTATATATTAATAACAGAATATGGTAATATGTTAAATATTTTATTGTATTATACATGTGTATATAATTATATATTGAGAACACTGTACATAATTTATGTATATATATATATATATATATATATATATATATATATATATACATATGTACCTATTTAAATAGCGGTACAAATCTTCAGAGACATTCACACTAGAGATCGAAGACTCACTGCAAATGGTTCTTGAAATGAAACAGCTGGTCACTCATCCGAAATTCGACGACAGGTTTCTAGAACAACTGTGATTGCACAAACTGGCTGAGATAATGCAGAGCATCGTAGCACACTTTCAACATACACCGTTGACACTGATATCAGAGGCAGCAGATGCATCCGTGTAGGCCACCGGGCCAGGCGAACGCACTCCGGTCTGAGAATCGACTCTCTCTCTCTCTCACCAGCAGAAATATCCCCCTCCTCCTTCATCCACAGAGTCATGCAGTTTTCACGCGATGGCTCACATCA